ATGGAAACCATAAAATCTTTTAGAAGGAAAAGAAGAGCATAAAATGCTCCGCACCTTGTGCCCTATGCATGGAGATGTTCAGACAAAATGCAAGAAGCGAAAATTAGGTCAGGTAAACTTGGCAATCAAGATAAAATTCCTACAACGATGCGTAATAACCTATGCGCTTTAGAAAATTTCAAGCATGTGCTGTAAAAACAAACCTTTTAGGACTTATGGCACACTATTAATATCACATATGCAAAGATTAAAGATCAAAGCAAAGAATATGAACCTGTAGAATGGTGAGACAGAGCTGCCAAATAAATAAAAACTTCATGGGTATAAAGAAGTTAAAACTTGTACATTTTGAAAATTGTGGAAATTTTACTCTGCATGGTATCAACTCAGTGTTTGTTGATATTAATTCTTAGATTTACTGAAATCACTGAAATTATTTTTCCTTAGATATAGTAGGTAGCTACAGAACCTCCAAGACTTGGTAATGTATAATCACCTATATACTATAAAGTCAAATGAAGTTAACAATATACTAGTACTAGTATAACAAAACAGAAGTAGAACAATGTGCTAGCTAGCTTCTACTCAACCTTGGTTCAATATTTCAACATGTAAATTGTAAAAGCTAAATTAGTATGCAAAAAAATATTGATAAATAATTACAGGAAAATCAGTCATTGCACATGAATGTGCTAGCTGCTTTACTTAACTGGTATATCAAACTCAGATTTGCACTCAAATAATCTTTCATTACAGTTTTCATTATAATGATTTGAAGAACATCAAACTGTGAATTTCATTTGGGGTATCCATATCTTAAGTCCAAAATAATCTATCTGCATACTCTTAAATAGTAAAAGCTAGATTAGTTGCAGGTTTATGTCAAAGATATTGAGAAATTGATAAATGTAAATAATGAAATGACAGAACCTACATGGATGTAGTTTGTATAACACCATCATATTTGAAGTAGATGGTCCTGCATAATATCTGTAACCACCCTATGATAGTGAAAGGCCCTGCATAAGTTGCTAATACAGACATAAGAGTTTAAATGTACATACATGAGAGGCCAATTTGCATAAAATTTTCCATTTTATAATTAGACTATGTTTCAGTATTCTTAGATGTAGATAAAAGACTTAATCATAAAACCAGGAAATATAATCCTTTATCAGATCATAACCAAAAGGCTTTCTGAACAATGTCCCTTGTCCAACCATTACAAGACAAAGCTGATGAGCTTTCCCATTTCTACAGCATCGATAAATTATGGAGAGGAATTCATAGATGAAACACGAGACTAGAATTTCCCCACCGTAGAAAAGCCATTTTCATAATGCCTGCCAGGAAAGTAACTTGCTAAACAAAAAGGCAGAACCCAAAAAACAAAGGCAACTTTGTAAACAAAATATCAAAACCATATTAACCAGTGTCCTTCTGATTGCATTGCCCAGCCAATGGCAGGTGTTGTCTTCCCATCTGCAGATGTGGATCCCTGCACAGTCTCAAACCTTCATAACAGCCACACCTACACACTCACAGAGGGATGAGAAGAGGAGTAGAGAGAACAAAACAAAATAGAACACAATAAAGAAACAAACATTAACTGATATAGATAAACATAGAGAGTGGGGGAGATTATGAAGTATGAAATGCGATAAGTTCTCCATATGATCATGCTGCTTCATATTTCAAAGTGGACCTGAAATAATTTTGAATTCAACAATATTCTACAGTGTTCCCAAAATAAATCCAGAGTGGCAACTGGCTAGCGGCAGCTTTTTGACTAAAGAGTAACAAATTCTGCATTGAAACCGATGACCATGGTAGATGAAAGGAGAAAGGTTCAGTAATTCAGAAGGCTTCCCCTATATTGATTGATGATTCTGAAATCTAAAAGTCCAAAGAAGTTCAACATCGCACATTATGAACACAAATCTGGTAATCTATTTATTTATTTTTTTATCCCAATCAATATTTAAACTCGTCCAAGACATTACCCAGAAAAGTGCAAGTTTACCGTTTCATAGTCGATAACATCAGGTACAAGAGCCGTATTGCATATGTAAGGCCCCTTCCAACATCAAGTTTTGCTCGCAGGACCTAACATTTACAAGAAACACCAAAAAAAAAAAAAAAAAACAAGAAGAAGAAACCAATGAGGACGAACCTCTCCCGGCAATACGAGCAAAGTAAACCAAAATTGTAAGACATTAACACGAGAATTTCTAACCTTTTCATTTCGAATAAACCAGTTATCAATCAGAAGGACATAATCCGCATTTGGTAGTTTGATAGGAAGAGGGACAAAGCCACCAGAGGCTCTTTGAAAGCCAAGAGCATTCTATGTTTGGGGATAATGCCAAAAAGGGGTGGTATCAAAAGTTCGGGTGAGGAAAAATGAGACCAGAATTGAACAATACATGGATGGAGAAACCTGGTTTAAGGATCCGAAAAAAGAGTGTTGGACGTATTTTCCACTAGAATAACAACTGGATTACAACTGCTACAAACATGTAAGATAGCTTTTGAATAGACAAGAAAAAGGAAGCAAAACAAAAGGTACATGAAAATATCTAAATTTAGGTAACTAGTATTCTTCAATTCTTCTGAATCAGTACTCTCTACTATCGATTGAATATAACATTATACAATGGTAGGAGTGGTTGCATCGTTCTTGGACGGGGATGACATTTATTGCCATATGATGCATGAAGTTTATTGAGCAACTTAAAGAAGCCTCCTATGAATAATAGAATAAAGAAAATGGACCACCACGGAAGCTGCAGAGCCAAAGATACCAGAGTGGCGAGAGCCAGAGAGCCAAACACGGTCATGAGGGCTTCAAACTGAGAAGCAAAACCAGTAAACAAGAACTTAGCAGCCAGAGCCAAATAATATGCTAATGTACATATGACAGAAGCAATGGAAGTCCTTGAACTTTGTATCTGAAGGTAATTGAGTAGAATTGGAAGCAAGGGAGCGAAGATCAAATTGGAGGAAAAGAATTCCCTGGAGAAATTGAAGATATTGACATTAAAGAAGAACACAGTATAAGAAACTGGTCTTCCTGGATAGAAGCAACTATGGCTATGGCTATTCCTTCCTCCTTGGTTGCTGCGCAGAACAAAAGGCGAAGTCAGATCACATGATCAGAGAGGGGATCACGTGCCCTTTCCAGCGCATGAAAAGCACGAAGCAGCTGCGGCCTGCAGCGGAGCCCCCCATTTCCATTTTATTTGTCTAAAATAATTTTATTTGATTTTTATTTTAATTTTAAATATAAAATCCTAATATATTTTATTTTTTATATTTATGTATTTTTTAAGATAGTTTTTCTGATAATGATAGTTCTAGTTAATACAGTTGATTAGTAAGGATATTTCAAGAAAGACAACACTTATTTATTACACATAGCTAACTTAACTTCTTTCTTTAATTTTCTCAAATTAGTCAACTAAATCTTATAATTAGAACCGGAAGTAGTATATTAATAAGTATTCTTCCTGTTCTTAATATAAAACCTAATTATTAAGTTAATTTTAATCCCAAATATAAGATTTATTTTTTATACTACCTCCGGTCCTAATTATAAAAACCAGTTGACTAATTTGATGGGATTAAAGAAGTAAGTTGAGTTAGTTATTTGTCCTAAATAGGTGTTGTCTTTCCTAAAATATAATTGCTAATCAAGTGTATTGACTAGAACTATCATTGTTAAAAGGGTTACTTTGGAAAAAAAATATATAAATATGAGAGACAAAGTGGATTGGGGTCTTATATTTAGAACCAAAATAAAAGTCAAACAGGGTCTTATATTAAGGATCGGAGGTAGTATTTATCAATTTTTTTTAAATTTCCCTTATAAATACTCTATCAACCATAATCAAATAAATAAGAGAGTAATAATATTAAAAAAAATGATTATGGTATGTTAAAAAAAATATGTCATATTTTTATAATTAACCAATTTACCTAACTTCTTTAATATAATTAAATTAGTTAAATAGGTCTTTATTAAGTTGGATGTTTTGAGAAATTAGTGTTAATAAATTAAATCAAAATTGCAAAATGGGGGGAAATGCTTCAGTAATTTAATTAAATTATATGTCCCGTGCCCTTTATTTTAGGACCCAGTTTCGGTTGTTATTACAATGATAAAATCTGTGCTATGTAAATACATTTTTCATGGCTGGCAAAAAAAAAAAAAATTTCATGATTTAAACTTAAAATTTTCAATTAATAATTTTTAAATAATAAAAATATTTTTAAATAGAAACTGAAAATTAAAATATTATCTTTATTTTAAATTTTACTATCAATAAAATAATCATTTCACAAAAAGTAAAAATAAAAAATATATAAATTTTGACCTTTGAAATTAGATGTAAACAATCCCAATTAAGTATAAAACTTAAAGTTTCAACACACACATATGATTTTGGTTTTTTTTTTATTTGTTATTTGTAAAAGTTTTTCATATACTAACGAGAGCAGTAAATAAATAAAATATTTTATTTTCACTCTTATTAAATAGGTAGTATACTTTTTCTGATTCATGTCCTTTCTCTTCATCTTTATAATTAAGATGGCTAAAATTAAAAATGAAACATTGAAAAGAGTATAAATGACAGATAAAAAGAATTAAAATATTCTACTAAAAATAGCAAATAATAAAGACGAGTGTAGCATACATATGTGTGTGTGATATGAAACATTCCACATTAAGTACAAAACTTAATCAAAGTTTCAACACACACATATATATATATGCATTTTCTTAGCCAACACACGCGTGTGTATGTAGATATGAAAATGCATGATGAGCATTAATTTTAATTTGAGAAATACTTGTTGGTTAGCGGATTAAAAAGCAAAATTAATGACTAAAGGAAACCCTGAAAGACCTCATCAGCACTAGCAGTGTTTGACATGGAAGGCTATTGTTGTTTGGTCCCATAGCTAAGCTGCCGCCAGGAGCATACACGCACTGGTGATCAGCCGCCGACAGTGACGGCGACAGCGCCGACCACGGCACCAACAACACTGGGTTCACTCACTTCGCCATAAACATGGCCACACGTTGCAGCGATGCTCGTACCATCTCTGCATTCATCTTCTCTGTTCAAGGAGGCCGACAAATTAATGCTTTTGAATTAATTTGGAATTAGGTCTTTATATAATGACTTGATTATTTGGGAGAAATATTCGTGGGACCCATGGACGATCGCATCTATGAAAGGGTTTTCTTGCAGGTCGAATCTATGAAGGGTTTTCTCGCAGATCGATGCTCCCAAGTCCCAATCTGTTTGAAAACTTTGAAGAATATTTTGAAAAAGTACTCTCATGTGAGAGACGACGATGGCATAAAGTTGTCTTTTACCAAAAGAAACGACGACGATGATGATGGTTTCCGCGTTCGCATTCGGTGCTGAGCTCCGATGGTTTCGAAGGACAAATAAAAAGGAGAGGCTTTCCTCCGTTGTCTTTATCATCCACTTACCATATGCTGCTTGTAAACGTCGTTGGGTGAGAAAATGAAATCTGAGTCAAATATACTAGACGACAGCGTTCAATATGAAATCACGTTTTCTTCTTTCATTCAGCAGCACGTCCCATTTTTATTTTCCGCGTTCTTTTCTTCTTCCACCAGCACGGGAAAGTTGAAGGTATTGGAGTGAAAAAGTTTTTCAGAAAACTTGAAGAATTTCAAAAAGAAAAATATATGGGTTCTGAATATTAAAGATTAGTAAGAAATAAGTTTCTTGTTCTTTCGTTTCTGTTTAAATTTTTCTGTAAAATGAATCAGTTTTGAGAATGTTAAAAAAAACAAAATATGGCAATGGAAAAGCACCATTTTCACCTCTTTCTTACATGTTGTCTTCATGTGTGTGTGAGTATTCGAATTAAAAAGTCAAAAAACAAAGCACCCGAATGCGCAACATGTTGTGCAAACGTGTGTATATATTTTAATGAAAGATAGATTAAAATAATTGAATTCAAGAGAGTTTCAGGACTGTGTGTATGTTCTGTTTAGTTAATAGATTTGTTTTTGTGTGTGTATATGTTCTGCCTCATTTAATATATTTATTTGTGTGTATATAATTTGTAACTATTTTATTCATTTATTATTAATTAACATTATATATTTTCAATTTTACAGGAGGCTTAAACCATGGCAATAAATTTGACTGCTACACTTAATCTTAAATTTGATGATATAGAAGCATCTTGGAAATTTTGGAGAGCATATGGTACTATTTTAAAAATATACACTTAGATCCAATCTATTAACACCGTCAAGAATATTCTTAAAAGATTCTAAAAATATATTTTTTAAATTTAAACTTATATTAAAATAAATTTTATTTACTAATTTATCCCTTATGCTAAATCCCTAATTTACTTGCCAATTTGCAAACTTTTTTTTTTTCCCTAAAGGCAAGCAGTAAGAACCGCCATGGACTGGCATGGGGAAGACAAATGAAGCTACATGGAGAATCACCAAAACGCAAAAGTATGAAACTTCGGAAGAATCTATCTTTTCTTTCAAATCCACTAAGCAGAGTATTTGACATATCCAATTATTTTTTCCTTCTTAAAAACAAAGCTTTGTAGGTCCATTTGAAATAGCTATAAGCAGTTTTTTAATCACAATTTATAAAATATAAGGTAAGTATTTGAGAGAAGTTTTATCTTAATTTACGTAAAATATGCTTGATGAATAGTGTGCAGCGAACAATATGAAAAAATTTCATATTATTCCATTGTAAAAGACTGAACAAGAGTTTAGGACCTCAAAGGGTCCATTTATACGGACAGATAGGCCTAATGGGCTAAGGCCCAAAACAATTAAATGACTAAAAGAACTATAAACTATACAAGATGTTTAACACTCCCCCTCAAGTTTGGCCCAAAACAATTAAATAACTAAAAGGTCTATAAACTATACAAGATGTTTAACACTCCCCCTTAAGTTTGGGAATGAACAAATTTACAGTTCCTAATTTGTTGAAAAGTCTTGTTTGAATCTCCTTGCTTATTGGTTTAGTCAAAATATTTGCTTCTTGGTTTGCAGATTTTACATGTTGCAAGCTAATCAATCCATTACTCACCTTTTCTCTTATAAAGTGACAATCAATCTCTATATGCTTAGTTCGCCCATGAAAAATCGAATTATATGGATCACTACCATACTATCACAATATACCTTAACCAAATCTGTATGGTTAATTCCTAAATCTTTTAACAACCCAACAATCCAGACCATTTCTAATACAGCTGCTCCCAGGGCCCTATATTCGGCCTCTACAGATGATTTGGACGCAATGTTTTGTTTCTTGGTTTTCCATGCAATCAAGGAACCTCTAAATTTCAAAAGATACCTAGTAACTGAACGCCTTGTAGTAGGACAAGCTGCCCAATCTGAATCACAAAATACTTCAGACTCAAATCCTCCTCTATGGGCGTGTTTGGGTGTCTCCCCAAACCATGGTTTGGGGAAAAAATAATCTAAACACCTATAAAAAAAATCAAAACCATAGTTTTGGGAAAAATCATTTTGAATCTGCTTTTGGAAAAAAATTAGAGTGTCAAATGGATATGAGGATCTTTTTTTGGGACTAGACACATATGCCCCTCAAGCTTCAATCTTCCAGTCCTTCACTGTTTAGAGAGGTGGTATGTTTTTTTTTTTTAAAAAAAACTAGAAAGAGGTAGTATGTTGTTACATTGTACTTTTTTTTTATTTCTTTTCTGTTTATAAAAAATTATTCATCTTCTTCAAAAATATTTTTAATCTTATATTTTATAAATATTTTTACACATGTAGTAATAATTAATTAATTATATTAAAGATGAGAGGTAGTATGTTATTATAAAAACTAGTAGTGAAAAAATGTTATAGAATTTCATGTTTAAAATCTTTAAAGCAAATTAATATTTTTCTATTAGAAAAAAATAATCATTTTTCTATAAACATATTTAATCTTATAATTTATAAATATATATACATATTAATTAATTATTAATTATATTATCTTATATATTATTAATTATGTTAGTAAAAATTATTTTATTAACAATTTTATTCCTTCAAATCAAAATATATTATAAAATCTATCCCTTATATAATTTTCATATTGACTTATGCCCTTTTTAGTAATTTGCACATATAAAAAGTGCTTCTGGTAACAACTATCCAAACACTCTCACTTCTCAGAATCACTTTTTCAGAAAATCTATTATCTCCAGAGTCTATTTTCCAGAAGCTATTCTTCAAACCATGGTTTAGTTTCATCCAAACACCCCCCATATTGAGTAATATCCCAACTCCCAGAGATTGTTTCAGGTATCTCAACACACCAAGAGTTGCTACCATATTAGATTTCATTGGTGTTTGCATGAATTGACTAAGAACCTACATGGCAAAAGAGATATCAGGGCGAGTGACAGTTAAATATATTAATTTACCTACCAATTGCCTGTATCTCTCTGGATTCCCTAACAGATCTCCAGGTTTGTTTTTGCCTTTATCATATGCTAGAAGCCTCAAATTTTGAGCCATAGGTAGGAAAAGGGGTTTACACCCACTCAATCCAATCCCTGCAAGAAGATCTAATACATATTTTCATTGATTAAGAACAACTCCTTTCTTGGACCTAGCTACCTGTATTTCCAAAAAATATTTCATTATTCCTAGGTCCTTGATCTTAAAGTTACAGTGAAGAAATTCCTTCAACTCCTTGATCCTATTTTTTGCATTTCCAATAATCAGCAAATCATCAACATCAACCAAAATTAGCACACAGCCATCAGAAAAATTTTTAACATATAAAGAGTAGTCATGTTTACTCTATTTAAATCCACCATTAATTATGGCCTTAGACAATTTTTGATTTCATTGTCTAGAGGCCTGTTTAAATCCATAAAGTGACTTATTCAGTTTACAAACCATTCTCCCCCTTACCCTTGAATCCTTGGGGAATGGTCATATGCACTTCTTTATCTAGGTCTCCTTGCAAAAAAGCATTATGAACATCTATTTGGTACAAATTCCAATTATAAACAGCAGCCAGTTTAAAAACAGTCATAACAGTAATCATCTTAACCACAGGATCTTATTGTTTTTCTTCCCATTCGTCCGTTTCAACCTCACTTAATTGGTTATGCATGAACTTGTTTTGATGTTTGTATCTCTCTTTAATTCCTAGCTTTAAATTCCTTCGTGCCCATGTTTTCAATGCAAGATGTCTTCATTTTTGAAAGCAAGCTTTTTTTTTTTTGGGTAAAAAGACCTTTAAGTTTTAAAAGCATTCTCCTATGCGGCTATACATACATCTATGCATGTGTCACCGAACCTTCTATATATATCTATATCGAAGACGTCTAATTGGCTATTTCATCTCCATTTAATAACCATTCTGTTACAACTTATGTCTAGCTATGTGATATATTTATATAATTAAGAAATTGGAAAACACAGTAATAATTTGTACCATATTATTTTCAATTCACATGCAAACTTTATGCCCTAATTTGCTGTGGCAGATTTTTTTCCTTAACAAATATGCAATAAAATTAGAGAATATCTATTTTGATTGTTTTAAAAAGTATGCACAGAGAAGATTGATAAGATCTTTTTTAATTATTTACATTGAATTCTCTTTTCATTTGAATGAAAATAAAAGAGATCGTTGCGATTTTATAATAAAAGTAATTAAGTAAATACAGAAAGAAGATGTGTTTTGATGACAATCTTAAATTTGAATTTTTAATTTTAAATGAAGAGAAGATTGTTGAGATTTACATAAAAATGATATATAAATATTATAATTTAATAATTACATTTTAATTTAGAATTTAAACGTGGCCTTCAAGGTCTCGTGGCTAGAAAGTAGTTCTTCAACATCTCCAACTAATAAATGAGGTTTATTAAAGGAATTGCATATACAACAAAATCTATTAAAAAAATGAATCTGTTATGAAAGAGAGGACAACAAATTATAATATTTACATTACATATAAACAACCTCTTTATATTGTAAACTAGCACAGGATCCCTCGTGTGTTGCACGGGGAGCAAATATTGTAACATTCATTAAATAGTTAAACTACATTACATTCGCCTACATTGTACCTTCGAAGAGGAACACCAATGACAAATGCCTACCCAACAAATTCAGAACAAAGGTTATGAAAGATCTCTTTGTACACAACATTTGTTGTTGTACCCTTCATTTTGTTTCCATCCTCAGCAACAATCACCTTCAAACCATCAACTGATTTCACTCTTGATAGTGCAACATATAGTTGGCCATGCGCAAAAACGGGCTTCGTTAAATACAATCCAACATTTCTTAAAGATTGGCCTTGACTTTTATTTATTGTCATGGCAAATGAAAGAGTGATGGGGAATTGCCTACGTTTCATGCGGAATGGCCACCTACTCTCAGAAGGATTCATGTCCATCCTGTGAAGCAACACGTTCTGGTTTGGATGTGAACCGTTTAAAGTGATTGATTCAATGACATTCCTGCCTATTCTAGAGACACGTAATCGTGTCCCATTGCAGAGCCCAGCAGCTTGGTCTATATTCCTTAGTAACATAATAGGTGTCCCAACTTTCAGGATCAATTTGTGTGGTGGTAAACTAGAGCAAGTAATTGTGTTTAGGAATTATGCTGTGTACAAGTTGTCAAAGCTATCAGTGTCTTCTCCTGATTTGCAAACAGTGTCACAACTGAGGAACTCAAATGTTTCTCCTAGTAACAAAGAGCACATGTAGTCATTGATTTGATTGACATGGTCAATTATTGGCGCTAATATAGCCCTATCATTGAAGTATCCATTGCTTTGCAGATTTTCAAGTAGATTGGGATAAGTTGCAACAACAATTGCTTGGATTGGGTTTGTATATCCTCTTAGCAAGAGCTCTAGAGGGATATCAATCTCTGAAATCCCATCACTTGATTCACCCAAGCGACCATCACCTACTTTTAATAGCCATTGTGAAAATCTTTGTAACCTTGTGGCACTTTCTGTTGATGATGTAGAATTCAAGCGCATATTCCTTGTCAACTGGAAGACTTTGCAATATTCCCACAATGGTGATGAGCTTATGCATGCATTAACAATAGATGCTCTTGTTCCTTTTGGGATAACAGGAAGTATCTGACAGAAGTCACCACCCATAACAATGCACTTCCCCCCAAATGGAGCTGGACAATGCATTATATCCTTCAATGTTCGATCAAAAGCTTCTATGCAGTAACGTTGTACCATTGGAGCTTCATCCCATATAATAAGCTTTATTCTCTCAATAAGTTTTGCCAGAGGAGAATTCTGCTTTATAGAACACATGGAATTCTCATGCACATGGATAGGAATGGCAAATCTTGAATGAGCTATTCTTCCAGAAGGCAATAATGTTGCTGCTATCCCACTTAAGGCAACTGTCAATACAATCTCTCCATTTGAACGTATTGCTAATGTTAAAGCATTCCATAGAAATGTTTTCCCAGTCCCACCATAACCATAGACAAAGAAAAAACCACTATTAATATGTTCTAGGACTGACATGACATGGTTGAAGATATGAAGTTGTTCTTCATTCAATGATTGTATGAGTCTAGTAGCTTCATTACAAAGAGTATCACAATCGTAATTTAACTCCTGCAATAGTTAGAAACATCAATAGGTTCCACCCATGTTGGTTTTGGCATAGTCGGAAAATCTGCAAGACTTCTATCATTTTGCTGTAGTAATTTATCAATCTCTTTCAATGCTACTTGTTATTTTTCCTCTGATAGGATAAAAACATCTACAAGCAAAAGAAAACATCATTGAGATAATTCAGTAATATTTGATAAGAAAACATAGGTAGTAAATAATTATATGGATTAACAATTCAAATTTATATATATATATAAATAAGCATGGAAGTTGTACCTGAGAAGTTAGGATCATTTCGTGGAATGTATAATAAATCTTCAGATAATATGGCTGACGTCTCCCTCCATACATCTTCAGGCCGACTTAGGCAACAACATAATAGCATGCTAACAAACATTCTACGAAAAGATTAACCTGATGCCCATGTTGATGCCTCCCTCAAGGCAGATATGTGCTCCTTATCATCATCTAACAAACCCATTGCAAAACATGCTTCCCTAAATGTTGGACATAGTACACCATCAACAGTTCTAATCTCATCAAATGATCTTGGTCCTTTTACTTTGGTCAAAAGCACTCGCAAGTAATAAATCTCTCCAGAAGTTGGTGAAGTATGACAAATGCGACCTACTGAAAACCTCGCTTCCTTTTATTCCATTCCCTTTCACTTCTTTTGTACACATAATGATTAGGGAATTCTGCATAAGTAAGAGTTCTAGCAAAGCTATCAGTTACATTAATCTTCATCCAAGCAAGGAATTGTGATTCACTAACTCTTGGTTTGTCAAGAATCTCAACAACATCATCATAATTGGAATATATAACAGTTTGTTGATTGGGTAGATGGAAACTTAACCTCTCAACAGACGGAGATCTATAATGTATGTCAAATCCAAATATTCTCCATGATGCTTCACATGAAGAAATATACCTGCAATTATAGTACTATTGAATCTCATCAAATATTACGGCACCTTCCTTGTCAAATATTCTTGCAACTACTCGATCATTGCCTTTACTAATATACTTGAATAAATACTTAATTGCAGATGACTGGTTGCATTTTTCAACATTGATATGAGCTTGGAACTTTTATAGAAGAAAAGAATTATATGGCACAACATACCGATTATCTAAAGTGACAGACTTGATTTCAACTGACCTACCATCATCTCTTCGATGGTAGGTAGGATAACCATCTTCATCAATAGTTGTATTATGATTGAACCTCTTCAGAAAGTATTTACTACGTTTGTTATCCTTCATGCAAGGTGACTTAGGGTTGCTAGAGCCATAAGGACCATGGACCATGAATTTCTTCACCAAATCATATAACAATGGTGACAAATCCTTATCAGGGATTTCTGCAGATATGATGTTGTCAACATCTTCTGGATTTCTTAGCTTATTGATTGGATCAAGGAATAATAGTATATGTGCATGTGGTAATCCTCGCTTCTGAAACTCAATTGTAAAAACCTCTGAAAAAAGAAATGTTCAAATAGATTAAATTAATTGCAATGAATAATTTAGACAACACGATGAATATGTATTGAAATATACCTACTCTAACAGTACCAAAAATCTCTCTCTTTTTGATGGTCTTCATTAGTGATTGAAGTTTCATTTTGAATACTCTGCATAAAATATCTGATCTATCTGAAGGATGCAATCTATGTTGATTACAAAACCTTGTTATCTCAGGCCAAGCTGGATTACAAGTGAATGTTATGAATATATCAGGGTATCCTGCCCATCTACAAATAGCCATTGCATCTTGGTAATTCATTATCATGAAACGAGCTCCTCCTGTAAAAGATGAAGGGAGAATTATCCGTCTTCCTGTTGATGCAGCATCCCTCTCACCATTAGTTAATGCATCAGATAATCCTTGGTATAAATCTACCCTTAGCTCTCTTTGGTGAGTCTTGATCCAGAATAACCTTTGAGACTCAATCATTGTATAACCGTCAATAACAAATTGTTGCAATAACCTTCTTGCATGGAGTAATGTAGATGTTTCATTTTCCCTCATCATCAATCTAAAAGTGAAATATTCCCTCATGCTAAGTTTTTTCTTCTTCTTCGTATTAGCAAGTGTGGATTCTCTATGATCAACATCAATCCTGTACCCATCTCTCCAAATGGAAATAAGATAGGATACTGCAGTGGGAGATAAGCTGCATGGAGCTCACTAATCCGTTGAATTAACCCTGAAATTTGTTGCATGATTACATCTCTGACATTGAAGCTCATATCGATGTCCCCAACAACTAAAGCAGCAACTTCAGACGCAGAAGGTAAGTTGAAGGTGCAACCATCAGTTTGTCTATCACTGATTAGGCATAATTTCAATTCATTCTGTTTGTCACGGGTAATCATTGATGATGCACATCTATACTGTTGGACAAAAGGATTGACAGCATCAAGCACCTCTTTTATTTGAAGCACAATGTTGGGGTCAATTGTTGATTGGCTTTGATGTTTACTACATAAAAATATAGAATAAATTTTTTGCATTATGAATGTTGATATATAGGAATAATACCCATAAAATACAAGGTAAGCAAAGATGGCATACCTCACTGCAGAAATTCGATTAGCTACTTCATGCTCAGTGTCAAAGATATATAACTGTGAATAAACTGGTTTGCTATCTTCTGGAGGCAATAAACTACCAATGGAATGGTAATTAACTCCATGCATGACAAAGGAATAAGGTCCACCACCACAATTTTTTGAGTGATCAACTTTCCCTCCTAATGAAGTTGTTAGCGTGAAAATTCTTTGAATTTGCTGAATCCTTCTTGAAGAATAAATCATGAAGTTGTGAGGGTGGTGGCCGCATAGTGGGTAATTGAACCTTGCCTTTAAGACAACACATTGAGAACATTATGTTATTCCTCTTTGTGTCTTTCTTAACTCTTTCATTATACCACAACATGGCATCACAATGTGCGCACTTATATATAGGGTCACCTTCATCAATATAATCTGTAAATAAGCACTCAATTATTGATACCAACTATAGGTAATAAACGAAATTATACAAAAATAGGATTAGCATACGGGAAACAGCAAATAAAGACGGAGTAATAATAACTAATGTTGAATATCAAACTTGATGAACTATAAACGTCAATCGTAGAATTGGTCTTTCGAATCAACACTTCATCTCTACTCATAGGATGTAGATGGACTATAGATTCAAAATAAAATATATCAAATATAAGAAACAAATAATATGTATCAACCTATTCTTATAACATTGGAACTTGACTTCCTACTTACCAGAAGATTGATTGTCTTCCTCATCAGTGCCACTTTTGTCACTCTCATCAGTATTGAAAGAGAAGTTAATGTCTCTATAGTTGACAAATTCATCTGATATGGAAAGAATATGAAAAATCATATTTGTGAATATATAAATCTATACAGTTATATCAAGCTTATCCATTAAGTTCATAATGTACAGAGAACCTGCATGGTTTTACATTATTTTTGCTTACCAACGTCCGGTAAATAATGAAGGTGAGGATTTAAACATGAATTTTGCATCAAATCTGTGTTTATCTCTCCCAATGAAGTTGTTAAATTACGTCTCTTCCTTTTGCCAGAATTTTGTAGAGATTTTGAAGGATGATCACAACTGCCAATATCTGGAGGAAAAAGATTATGGCAAGTATCTTATTTACATATATGTACAGTGTATACCTAAAAATGTAAAGACATTATGACCCCTTCGCTTACCAAGGCAAACTTCATTTGTAGCCTCACGGTCTATTGCATCATCACTAACATGATTTTGTTTTTTTCCTCTCCTTTGACTTGTTGAAATAATTTTACCTCGTTTAGCAGCATCAATTGTTGTGTCTATTGAACCAATATTATCTTGTCTTTTTCCTGGCTAGTTTAAAGAGACACTACCATTCATCTCTAAACTCTTAGTGCAATGACTTCGGCGGCCTAATAAAAATAAATAAAGTGTTTTGTTACTGTTCATCTCTAAATATAGTTCATAGTTTCATGGTTCGTATGTACCAAGTACCTATACCACTACTGATGAAGTATATGAATTGCATAATTTAGAACAGTATAGGATAACCATTAAAAAGATAAACCTGATATATTCGTTTGGGATGGATCCTTTCTATTTGATCCTTTATTGATGTTCGCATAGTTCTCAAAGGCTTTAAACCTTGCACTTTTACGCTTGAAGACATCACCAGAATAGTAATCTATGGTATGTGTCCTCCTTTGACACCCTAATAATTTATCACAAAATAGAAATTAGTAATGGATATACTACACATGAAAGATAAGTCATATTTCGTTTCAATGAACCACCTAACAGGTTAATGGCTTCCTTAGAAACAGAGTACTTAGTTTAATAAACCATTATGCTTCATATTGTCTAAATAAATAAATTAATAAAAGTTAAATGTTGTAAAAATAAGAAAGGATTAACATTTAGAGTTAGTCTGTCATCGTTACAAATAAACTGAATATTAACTCTTCCTATAACTATAATCATGCTATAACAGTTTAATAATTAAAATCACTTATGGGCAATTTATATATTCCCTAACCTTGTTTGGTGGTATTGGAAAACCTTTCGCATAGGTTGGAAGATAAGTTTGTAATGTCTCTCAAACCACCAGGTCTTCTTTGTTGTTTAATAGCAGAAACACCAGTTTCAATTGATTTCACATCTGTCAGTTGTGTCTGATTGTCATAAATCACACCCATTGTATCAAGTGAAGTAGTGATTCCTTTACCTGTTGGAAATAATTAAAACTCATAACATGTAACACTACTATAGTGAATAACATATATGCATCACATGAACGTGTAAATTGAAATCTTCATATTAATTATGCCATTAAATATTGACTACCTTATAACTATAAATCATACCTGTAACTTCCATTCTTGAGAGATTACTTAAACCCGCATGGAGTGAGTCCTTGGCTTCCATTTAGTAGGACTTCAAAGTGGTTTCAATCGATATTCCATTTGGATGGTTTATTCAAAATGGAAGAGATGATGGCCAGAGATTGGTGAGCTGTATCTAGTGTTCTGCAACTCCGAAATCTTCACACAGCTCATTGTTAAGATGGTTAAGATTCTTTTAATAAATAGTACCTTTCTAAACCTGCTATTTTTTTTTTGCATGCATGACTACATTAAACTCTTTACCTACACAATTCTGACAAGGGTTGTAAAAAGTGTTAACAAATATATATCTGATGTAAATGATTCTGCATTTTTTCTCTACAGTTCAAGTCTAACCAATATATAAGTCAGCTGCATATTATTGAAAGAGATGAACCTATCAGGTTTAGTACCCATGCAGCAATTGTACTTTCGTTTGAAATACAAGCTGATCATACTGATAGGTTAGATTAATTTTTTCACTTAAACAATCGCAATGTGTTTTATAGTTAGCATTTTTATTTCACTTTTTGGCCACTAACACAAAATAATATCTACTTACGTGGCATATAATATTTTTAACACCTTATATAGAGTATGATATATGTATAGGACACATACTGTTTAATTGACATCATACATATTAAGCATAGTAATAAATAAAATGGATAAGAGTTGCTCTTAATATTTCTCTTTAAATGATTGAAGAAGATTTTTTTTTCACTGTTTACTAAGTCAATGGTGAAAAAGTGAGGTGCACACGTGTAATATCGATTTTCTTTTTTCCATATTTATTACACTCTTGACTAAGTTAGCTGTTGAAATTTGATTTTACTGTGTGCTGTTACTACTATGCATGCACACATCATAATATGGCTTTGTAAGTAATAGAAGTTGATTAACTTATCAACAATATTTGTGTCAATGTTTGTCAGTAAGAACTATTGATTCTCCATACTACTATGAAGGCCTTATAATGTTAGATCAAACTACACACAAGTATGTTCCCAATCCATACAAGGCTTGTAAGATTAAAAACTAATGTAAGCTTGCCATGGAAGTTTAATTTGATTTACTTTATTCTCATTGCCCTCAGTAATGCCCATTTGGATACATACCTGATGTTACTCAGCTTATTGTTAAAATTTGGTATGTTCATTTAAATTGAAATTGAAATTATATATTGTACAGTTTGATTGGATGTATCTAATTTGACATAAGCTAAATTTAATTATTTACTAATTGTGGTGATGATACTAATCAGCTGAACACGCATAAATGATAAGGTAAAACAGACATTATATTACCATAGAATTTAACAATACATGTTCAAGTAATTCAAGTACCATAATGGACTTGAACTACCTAAATTACACACAAGATAGTACAACAAAAACATGAAAGCTTTAAATTTAGGACCAAATGATTGAAATCAAACGATGTAGACGCAACACAGATAACAAACAAAACAACAACCCCAGCCAAGCTCATAGTGAATATTGGAATATATAACTACTTCTTCTCCTACTTTACCTTCACAATCCTTCCTAAGTTGTTGGATGATGAGGGATCAATGTTATTGATAACAGGATCTATAGAGGTGGATGATTTCTTGGAAGCAGTCTTCCTCTTGCCTTTATAGGTCCCACCAGATACAAATGATTGATGACTTAACTCAGCTAAAGTTAAGCTCTCTGAAGAATCTAGTGCAACAAGAGTGGAACGCATAATAGGAGGAGTAATCTGAACCGTTGGGGAACCCTCATCAATATCCTCCATGCTTGACTGTATAGAGTAATCCTCCTAAGTGTTAGTTAGTCCTAATTCTTTGCAATTTTAATTATTGAATAACACATTTAAAGAAGAAATAGACTTTCATCTACAAATTATTAAATCAAAACCTGAGTTACATCTATATTTGGCTCTAAACCTGCAAGCACAAGCAAATATTTATTTTAGTTACGGAGAATTATATGTATGAATACTTAATCAAATGGCATTGACAGACTTATATCATACCATGAATTATACATAATATAATGTTACCTCAGCAGATGCTTTAGTGAACTGCTCTATGAGATCCTCACATAATGTGTATTGAACCACACTTATACTGGAATGAGGATGCTTCCTATTGTAGTCATTCAACTTCAATTTCAGAATCATCCTCTTACCAACTAATTCATCAAGTTCAAACAGGAAATCATATTCACGTTGTTCCTAAATTCAATTCACACTGTCAGGATCATATACCAGAAAGAATTCTAATAAGTATTCATATCAAACATACAAAACGCACTCCAAGTCCTTAATTCAATTTAAAGGAACCTGAATCAGTGTCAATTTCATTTCCAACGCATTTTTTTTGAAAAGCTGAACAGCTAACTTATCCCAAAAAATTACAGAAGTCTTCCCAGAATGATCTTCAACAACATAATGGACCTTCAATCTAACAAATACCGAATTAAAATATATTAGTTTACATGTTCATCTTATTAATAATGATCATGAAATGATGAAGTTGATTAGAATATAAATGATGGGGTAGACTATTAGTGTAATATTACTTTGGCTCTACTAATACAGGTTTCTTTTTACAGAGTGAACAGTGAAGAGAGCCATTATCATCCTTAGGCTTGCTTGCACACTTTGAGCAACCATCATAGGTCCATCCATGACGAGTCTCAAGCTTAATGACCTTGCAGGTAATAATGAAAGCTTCCTCCTGTATTTTAACATTTATGTGATCAAATAAATCATACAAATTCCAAGATTGCAAAATAATTTTAAATTTTAAATTATTAATTATTAATATATATATATATATAAGAATGAAGCTACTTGACTAAATAGTTATATTATATTATAGAGAGATGGTTCTTCAAAAAACATATAATCACACGTACTCCTGCTTCATTTTCAATGTCAGATATATCCATCCTCCTATTATTGCGCATCATAGTTGAAGCTGAAGGTTGAGAAGATTGAGGTGGCATTTGTTGGCTTAGTGATGTCAATGAAGGAGAGAATTTGTCTTTGGATCTACAAACAGTGAATTGAATAATAAGTCAAGGTGATCATGGTTTATGAGATGGTCACCAAAAATGGTGAAGAGGCAATAATAAATTAATAACTTTTTAGTAGACAATATGGTATATTTAATTATACCATTAAAATTAGTAAATGTGCGAGTTTATATGAAGGCATATATATAGAGTAATAGCATACCTTTCAATAAGTTTTTTTACTACAGTCAGTGTTGGATTGAAAATAACTCGGGTAGCACTGAACGAACTACATAATTGAGGATAGCCTATAATGAAGGTAACAAAAATAAAAAATAAGATGATAGATAATATATTGTAGAATACAGATTATGTTTACTACATCTTTAGTACATACTAATTATAGCATACCAACATACTATATACTATTATAATATAGTTATATCATATTATAATATTATGATAGATGCTAAATACCATCATCAGAGAATGCAACCCTGGCTAAGCTAATAACTACAACAACTGGGTTCTCCATATTCTCCAGATATGCAGTATAAGCATTTGTTGAGCATTCATCAAATAATACACATTCCACTTCATTCTCATTGTATAAATGAAACCAAAGAAAACAAACACATCAAAGTTATTATACAAAAGTATGATGTATGACTAATTGGGAAAAAAAAATTATTTACCAAAAAGTTGGGTCATCATGGCTGTTAGAACGTTACTCCTCATCAACCAGAACCATACACAATTTGTGCTTAGTTTCATTCTCCTTCCTATATTCTTCCAGAGATCCAATTGACTGGATAAATGCCACCACATCTGACAATGCATTTTATAAATGATAAGTGATAAAATGGAACTAAATTACTATGAAGTTGTAGTCAACGTATTAGAAAAATAATCTTACCGATAAGAAACTCAAAATAATTTTTTTCAGTACACTTCACAATCTCAGGCAATGGAATGAATGAGAACCCATCATGAGGAATATTCGCCCCTTGCTCCCTCATGTATGTTTGTTGAGTAAATGTTATCTTCCACTTATTATTTGTAGCTCTGTACTGGTTGACATGGGCAGATACCTCAAAATTTGCAAAGAAGTAGGTATTACCCTCCACTGGATTATCCTTATATTGATTGAGTAAGTTCCTGTTTAAAACACTTGCTTGTATCTTGTTCCCCTACAAATCATTCAAAAAATTCATTTCAAAATACAATATCAACAGCTTAAAAACATTAAAATTAAATTAAATTACTATGTAAATAAGTTATACAAACTCCTATGAATCATGACTAAAAGGTACAGTTTCATTACGAACCTCTTCATCAAGCAATATCATGGTAATACAGAATAGCTCATAAGGGGGCGTCTTCTAATAAACACCCCATCTCCTAACAACTCTAACAATTACCTTCCACCTGTCTGTCCCTTCATGGATATCTTTGAGCAAAGAAACTTTTGACATTGTGCGGAACGGAGCTGAATGTAAAAGAGAAAGAACTTAAGAGTATGAGGATAAAAGTAACATCAATTGCACATCTTTAAATAGAACTGGGGATTAGCATGAGTACCAAAAAAAAAAGCGGGAAATTTGTTTCCCACCAAATCTGAACTATGAAACTTTCCCACCAGCCTGAAATTTAATCAATATAACATGAGGTTGCACTAAAACTCACCTATGCGACTATGTACTATTGAGGTAGGTGGCCAGAATGGCATAAAAAGTGGAAAGAATTAGGTTGACAAGGAAAATAATATGCCTGTTTAAAATATAGAATGAAAAAATGAAGACAATAATACTAAAAGTTTTGGTATATGTACTCTTATTATTTACTAATATTAAAATATTAATACTCTTTAATCAATAATATTAATAATTAGTAATCATGTTGTGAGCATTGTAATTAATATGACTATTATTATTATGACTACGACTACTGATGGAAACGATGAATACAATACCCATAACCCATTACTATTACTATGATTACTATAACTATAATGAAAGAAGCCAAGTAGGTAGAAAGTCAGTGATATGTGATAGATCGAACCATGTATCTTACTATACGTAATAATTAGCAAAAGTGAATTAGTACTTTAGTACTTAGTAATTGTATTAGTAATGACTTCATACCATTGAATTTGATATAAGCAGTTGCTATCATCTTATGCTTGGTGATATGAATTAATGCCATTTATGTGTTCCTGATGACCTGACAATCAACTCAAGCTTTTGTTATTATTAGATTGACTAACATCGAATACTGGGCTTCATGATATTCTAAAACATGATATCATCCATGTCATGCACCATTCTATTCCAACCTGCATGGTTATTGACTATCTATGATTAGGAAAAGTTTCATTCGCTAATGAGGAACCATTCTTGCATTTTTTTTCAAGCCTGTATGATCAACCTAACTGAAAAGGTCCTCATCTTTCTTATGCAACTATTATTATTATTATTATTATTATTATTATTATTATTATTATTATTATTATTATTAAAATTTTAAATTATAATTATAAATAATAATAATAGACTGATTAACTGGTTATTAAATCCGTGATTGTTATATTGTTTCATAAAGTTAAATATAAGATGAACAGATTATTTGATATAAATTTACTAAATTATTCACTTCCCAGACATCAGGTAAATATTAACATCATAACATAGATAAGTGAATGACCATTTTCAATCAAATCACTAAGCTTGCTATTTTCTAATTGATATTGATAAAATAATAGAATAATAGAATCTTGCTACCATCTGAAAATATTTAGTAATAATAATGACTTAACACCTCTGAATCTGCTATATATTTCAATCATCTCATCTTGACTAATATGAATTACTGCAACAATGTCTACATGATAACCTGTCAATAAAGTAAAGGTTTTGTTGTTATTCAGATAAGCACACATCGATTGTCAGACTTCATGATACCCATAACACAAGTTCATCAATATTTTCATTGAAATCATTATGTTCCAACGTGAATAATGGTAAAAAAAATTATTCACAAACTGACAATGGACTAAGGAACCAATGATATGAATTGTCAATAAATAGGATTTTAACCAACTGCGCAAATAGCCAGCAATCAGTAACTATGAAAATTAAGGAATGACTATTTGCACCTACGTATGTATAAAGATTTATCACATAATAGTTAAGGACAGAACAACAAGAAGAATCATCTTAACCCCCGCACATATACGTAGGTGTGTTTAAAAACTGATTACTAAATTCAACTGACATGGTATGGATAGAAATGATTATTCAATAAGATGCAAGGAGAATATAATAACATAAGGGTGAGAACTGACTACTCAATGAGATTCTAAATAATGCCTTGTCTTCAACTATGCATGCAAAGTTCAACAGTCATTCATTAAACAAAGTTCTCTTTACTGGCATTAGACTTGCTTTATGTTTGCAACTTCAAGCATATGTTGACCAACTTTTTATCATAAATCTCCAAGCATGGCAGCTTATATAAGAAAGGAAATAAGAGATGACTTTACCTGGTTAGGACCTATACATAGCTGCTTACAATACTTAGATATAAACTCTAGTAAAGGTCATTATGTTCCAACGTGAATACTGGTAAAAAAAATTATTCACAAACTGACAATGGACTAAGGAACCAATGATATGAATTGTCAATAAATGGGATTTTAACCAACTGCGCAAATAGCTAGCAATCAGTAACTATGAAAATTAACAAATGACTATTTACACCTACATATGTATAAAGATTTATCACATAATAGTTAAGGACAGAACAACAAGAAGAATCATCTTAACCCCCGCACATATACGTAGGTGTGTTTAAAAACTGATTACTAAATTCAACTGACATGGTATGGATAGAAATGATTATTCAATAAGATGCAAGGAGAATATAATAACATAAGGGTGAGAACTGACTACTCAATGAGATTCTAAATAATGCCTTGTCTTCAACTATGTATGCAGAGTTCAACAGTCATTCATTAAACAAAGTTCTCTTTACTGACATTAGACTTGCTTTATGTTTGCAACTTCAAGCATATGTTGACCAACTTTTTATCATAAACCTCCAAGCATGGCAGCTTATATAAGAAAGGAAATAAGAGATGACTTTACCTGGTTAGGACCTATACATAGTTGCTTACAATACTTAGATATAAGCTCTAGCAAAGGTCACAACACATATCCCCATGACTCAGAACAACTACTCCCGAGGTATCTACATATTGGATGAAAGAAACAAAAAAAAACTAAATTAGATTCCAGTTTGCACACTTCCCTAAGTAATTGAGCCAGCTAAGCTTAGGATACCTCAATGGTGTATATGTGCACATAAGTTTACGGGAGGATAAAATCCACACTCATTAAGGAATCACTGCACCCTAGGAAGGTGTAGTAAAACCGTCCATTTCTTCGACATCATCATAATGGTAGGAATGTGCGACATTGATGATTTCTTAGAGGTCGAATTCTTTAATCCACTCCACATTATTGATTCGCTTTATAATTATTTTTTGTTGTTTATTTAATGTATTAACATGTGAGAGCTTTGTCTAACTATTCCGTTTTGGGTTGATGAAATTTATGACTCTAATTATTACGAGACTCCCCCACTCATATACCCCTGTTACTAATCCAAAAATACCTATATTTTATTTACTCCAGACATTCAGCCAATTTTAATTTGAGTGGCGCCATTTGTTAAAGGTATCTATAAAAAAATTATCAATCAAGATTTGATTAATATGAGCAGCTGTCACAAGCAATGTAATATAAAATTCACACTTGAATAATAGAAAAGGTAGCTGTTAAACAAACAACAACTCGACCTTTCATCATATCAGTAGTCCATAGTTACAAACCTTGAACATACCAAGTTGTAAACATACTGCAGATGGGTGATAACACAGCCATTCCACAATGATACACAATACAATAACGGACTCTTTAATCTACATTGCACAATACATGAACACATGCCATGGTCCCTAATCTAACAACACAATACCAATATATGAACTACTATCTAAAACAACAATACCAATAGACGTACTACTAAGAAACCATAATAACCTCGTCCACATTAAGCATAACATGAACACAAGACACCTTGCATAAACATAACCTAGAAACCAAGTACATCTAGCACAGCAGCCCTTGCCCACTCAACTTCACTAAACTGAGGATTCACATAAACCCTAGTGGCATCATGAAAAGATGCCATAACCATGTGACCTTCTCTGTCAACTGCACCTATGGCATATTGAACCACAACAAAGATAGGTGCCATATTGATATCCAAGCTCTCAAATTTTGCAAAAGTAGCCTCAACACACTCTCCATGAAAAAGGAAAGTCATCTGCTTCTTCTCCCTGTGAAAAAAATATATTAGTTTCAGTCCAAGCTAAATAGTTAGTAGTAAGGTTTGTACATATTTTTTATTCACGTTTATACCTCCTATCCTCAATAACAAACATTAGTTCCTTTGTGAAATGACCCCTCCATG